TAGTCCAGAAGACAGCTGACCTATGTGAGTGGAGGTTTAAGTATGGTGTTAGATGTAACAAAAAACAATTATAAGTTTACAGAAATAAAAGATAAAGTATTTGAAATCACAATTTGATATATAGTCAAAATATTCCTCAACTCTCCAACAAAAGTTTCTTAGATGACTGTCAAGAGTGAACTTCACCAGTTTATGAGGAATAAATTCAATAATGGTAACACATTACATGTATAAGTGACAAGACTACTTTTCAGGCACACTTTAGAAATTGGAGAAGTATAAGATAGCTTAATGGAAACCATCAACAACATGTTGTTGCACATCATCTTTATGATAAGACATCCCAAAGTTTTTCACAAGAATGTTATAAAGAACAACTCTGTTTTGTATTACATATGAGGATAAATTAACAAAAGTTGGTTGAAGTGATAATTTATCTGCTCTTTGAAATAACAACCATTTTACTTTCAAGTGCACCTGCGAGGGAAGCTAGGGCTTCAGTTTAATGTCTTGCCATTTCAGCACTGAGATTTTGATTCAAGTCATAGAGATGTACAGCCTGGAAACAGACCCTTTGGTCCAACTTGTTCATGCTTACCAAATATCCTAAACAGATCTAGTCTGATTTGCGAACATTTGGCCCATATCCTTCTACAGCCTTCCTATTCATATACCCATCTAGATGCCTTTTAAATGTTGTAATGGTACTCGCCTCCACCACATCCTCTGGCAGCCCGTTCCATACATGCACTACCCTCTGCATGAAACAGTTACCCCTCAGGTCCCTTTTAAATCTTTCCCCTCTCACCTTAAGCCTATGCCCTCTAGTTTTGGACTCCCCTACCCTGGGGAAAAGACCTTTGCTCGTCACCCTATCCATGCCCCTCATAATTTTATAAACCTCTATTAGGTCACCCCTCAGCCTCTGATGGTCCAAGGAAAAAAGTCCCAGCCTATTCAGCCTCTCCCTGCAGCTCAAAATGTCCAGTTGTGGCAACATCCTTGCAAATCTTTTCTGAACCCTTTCAAGTTTAACAACATCTTTCCTGTAGCAGCCCTAAATCTGAAGTGAAACTTGAAGTTAGAACCATCTGACTCTAAGGTAAGAGGGCTACCGACCTAAGCTGCCAGGAGGATGTGAGAGAAAGGTTTGAGGGTGTGTTGGGAAGGTGGCAGCTGAAAGGATGAGTGTGAGTAAAAGACAGGGGTGAAGAGTAAAGATCATAATGCTTTCACTAATAGACAGTAAATAGACTTTTAATTTGATCAGAGATAGTAGGAACTGCAGATGCTGGAGAATCCGAGACAACAAGGTGCAGGGCCGGATGAACACAGCAGGCCAAGCAGCATCATAGGAGCAGAGAGGCCGACGTTTCGGGCCTAGACCCTTCATCAGAAAAGGGGGAGGGGAAGGGGGTTTTGAAATAAATAGGGAGAGAGTGGGAGGCGGATAGAAGAGGGATAGAGGAGAGGATAGGTGGAGAGGAAACAAACAGGTCGAAGAGGCGGGGATGGGGCCAGGAAAGGTGAGTGTAGGTAGGGAGTTAGGAAGGGGATAGGTCAGTCCAGGGAGGACGGACAGGTCAAGGGGGCGGGATGAGGTTGGTCGGTAGGAGATGGAGGTGCGGCTTGAGGTGGGAGGAGGGGATAGGTGGGAGGAAGAACAGGTTAGGGAGGCAGGGACGAGCTGGACTGGTTTTGGGATGCGGTGGGGGGAGGGGAGATTTTGAAACTTGTGAAATCCACATTGATACCATTGGGCTGCAGGGTTCCCAAGCGGAATATGAGTTGCTGTTCCTGCAACCTTCGGGTGGCATCGTTGTGGCACTGCAGGAGGCCCAGGATGGACATGTCGTCTGAGGAATGGGAGGGGGAGTTGAAATGGTTCGCGACTGGGAGGTGCAGTTGTTTGTTGCGAACCGAGCGCAAGTGTTCTGCAAAGCGGTCCCCGAGTCTCCGCTTGGTTTCCCCGATGTAGAGGAAGCCACACCGGGTACAGCGGATGCAGTATACCACATTGGCAGATGTGCAGGTGAACATCTGCTTGATGTGGAAAGTCTTCTTGGGGCCTGGGATGGGGGTGAGGGAGGAGGTATGGGGGCAGGTGTAGCACTTCCTGCGGTTGCAGGGAAAAGTGCCGGGTGTGGTGGAGCTGGAGGGGAGCGTGGAGCGGACAAGGGAGTCACGGAGAGAGTTGTCCCTCCGGAAAGCAGATAAAGGTGGGGAGGGAAAGATGTCTTTGGTGGTGGGGTCGGATTGCAGATGGCGGAAGTGTCGGAGGATGATGCGTTGGATCCGGAGGTTGGTGGGGTGGTACGTGAGGACGAGGGGGATTCTTTTTTGGTTTTTATTGCGTGGACGGGGTGTGAGGGATGAGGTGCGGGAGATGTGGGAGACACGGTTGAGGGCGTTCTCGACCACCGAGGAGGGGAAGTTACGGTCCTTGAAAAACGAGGACAACTGAGATGTACGGGAGTGGAATGCCTCATCCTGGGAGCAGATGCGGCGGAGGCGAAGGAATTGGGAATAGGGGATAGCACTTTTGCAGGAAGGTGGGTGGGAGGAGGAGTATTCTAGGTAGCTGTGGGAGTCGGTGGGCTTGAAATGAATATCGGTTTCGAGGTGGTTGCTCGATATGGAGACAGAGAGGTCCAGGAAGGGGAGAGAGGTGTTAGAGATGGTCCAGGTAAATTTAAGGTTGGGGTGGAAGGTGTTAGTGAAGTGTATGAACTGTTCGAGCTCCTCGTGGGAGCACGAGGCGGCACCGATACAGTCATCAATGTAACGGAGGAAGAGGTGGGGTTTAGGGCCGGTGTAGGTACGGAAGAGGGATTGTTCCACGTAACCTACAAAGAGGCAGGCGTAGCTTGGGCCCATGCGGGTACCCATGGCTACCCCCTTTGTCTGTAGGAAGTGGGAGGAATTGAAAGAGAAGTTGTTGAGTGTGAGGACGAGTTCGGCTAAGCGGATGAGGGTGTCAGTGGAGGGGGACTGGTCGGGCCTGCGGGACAGGAAGAAGAGAGAGGCCCCATCCACGCAATAAAAACCAAAAAAGAATCCCCCTCGTCCTCACGTACCACCCCACCAACCTCCGGATCCAACGCATCATCCTCCGACACTTCCGCCATCTGCAATCCGACCCCACCACCAAAGACATCTTTCCCTCCCCACCTTTATCTGCTTTCCGGAGGGACAACTCTCTCCGTGACTCCCTTGTCCGCTCCACGCTCCCCTCCAGCTCCACCACACCCGGCACTTTTCCCTGCAACCGCAGGAAGTGCTACACCTGCCCCCACACCTCCTCCCTCACCCCCATCCCAGGCCCCAAGAAGACTTTCCACATCAAGCAGATGTTCACCTGCACATCTGCCAATGTGGTATACTGCATCCGCTGTACCCGGTGTGGCTTCCTCTACATCGGGGAAACCAAGCGAAGACTCGGGGACCGCTTTGCAGAACACTTGCGCTCGGTTCGCAACAAACAACTGCACCTCCCAGTCGCGAACCATTTCAACTCCCCCTCCCATTCCTCAGACGACATGTCCATCCTGGGCCTCCTGCAGTGCCACAACGATGCCACCCGAAGGTTGCAGGAACAGCAACTCATATTCCGCTTGGGAACCCTGCAGCCCAATGGTATCAATGTGGATTTCACAAGTTTCAAAATCTCCCCTCCCCCCACCGCATCCCAAAACCAGTCCAACTCGTCCCTGCCTCCCTAACCTGTTCTTCCTCCCACCTATCCCCTCCTCCCACCCCAAGCCGCACCTCCATCTCCTACCGACCAACCTCATCCCACCCCCTTGACCTGTCCGTCCTCCCTGGACTGACCTATCCCCTTCCTAACTCCCTACCTACACTCACCTTTCCTGGCCCCATCCCCGCCTCTTCGACCTGTTTGTTTCCTCTCCACCTATCCTCTCCTCTATCCCTCTTCTATCCGCCTCCCACTCTCTCCCTATTTATTTCAAAACCCCCTTCCCCTCCCCCTTTTCTGATGAAGGGTCTAGGCCCGAAACGTCGGCCTCTCTGCTCCTATGATGCTGCTTGGCCTGCTGTGTTCATCCGGCCCTGCACCTTGTTTTTAATTTGATCAGCTGTTTTTGTGTTTAGATTTTGATACTTGACCTGACGTCTTCTGATTTCTCTGACTTAAACAGTGTCAGTTTGGGTTATGGATTACAAGCAATTCATTTTGCTTCCTTTCTTTTTCATGTGCTGATCAATCTGCTGTGAATTTCCAGTATGATGTTGATATCAGCGTTCAAAAATTAAAAGTATCTGATATATGACCTTGCAGCCAATAACTGAAAGAAGCAAAGACAAGGAAATGCTCATGGAGAATTCTTAACGCACAACCGGTTTTGCTAATTCAGTTGAAAATGCACATCCTGTGTTTTGTTCTCATCTTTGACATAATACTCAGATTTTAATAAATTATCCACGTATTAAGTAGCAATGTTGGAATCACACTGTTACATGCAGTACAAATATCATCTTCCAAGAATAGTGAAAAGTAGCAATGACTATTAATTAATAATATAGTATTTATATAAAATGCACAAGAATACATTCTGATGAAAAGTCCCACCTGAAATTTTATCCTGTGTTTTCTTTCAAATGCCAACAAAACTGCTTTATATTCCAAGCATTTTTGCTTCAGATTTTCAATTTTCAGTTTGAATTTGTACCTATGCTTTGTTGCCTTTTATCACAATAAAATTGAATTCAGCAGCTACAATTAATCTTCAACCCATACCAGCAAGACATAATTTAAATGGAGAGTAAATCCTTATACAGATTTACCAACTCAAGGTTTAAAATCCTTCCTGCATTGTGCCCCTGGTATTTTATAAGTTATGTGAAAAATCTAGGAGTTCAGCCATTCTTGGGAAAACTTGCCAAGTACAAAATTACTGCCTTCAAAGGAAACTTTTGGCTTTTAGTGAATGAGAGATAACAACAAACTGGCGCTGTAAATGGAGAAAGCAAGAGTATACCTGCACTTAGGATGATGTTTTCAGCTCCTGATTGGCTTGTAGGTATGTTGTTGTACCTGACAGGCGGATAGTCAGAAGCCGTCGCTCCAAGGTACGATTGAGATACTGAAGCTAACATAGATGTTGATGCTGATACTGCTCCGGGGGCTATCCTGTTGTTCGAGATGCTCTGGTATGGATAATGCTGTTGCTGATGGTGGAAGTGATGCTGCTGTTGTTGCTGCTGCTCGGTGTTGATGGTAACCGGTGGGTGATGGTGATGAGCCCCTCCTCCTCCAGTCCCTATGGCCAGTTGTGGGACCTCGATCATGGTGGGTCTTTCGTACCTCCTGGTCATCGCCTTCTTGCCAGGGAATGGTTTGAGGACACTGTAGGGAGTCCGCTGTTTGCAGAGTTTGGAGATGGTGCCCGATCGCAATCCTTCGTCCTCTGCGTGATTCATCTCCTCCTCCATTGCGGATCGACCGTGCGAGGGGGAGGGGGCGATTTTTCTTACCCTTCTGGTTTGACGCTTCCACTCAGTCGAGCTTGCAGTCGGAAGGGCCGGTGGTGATTGACAGCGCCGCTGACCTACACCCAGGAGACATCCCGGCGAAATAACGCGCAGCCCCTTCAGCGGCCCAATGAGGAGGATGCAAGGGCGGGACTTCTGCTTACAGCTTAAAGACTGCTGTCAATGTATTGGCTTCAGTGTCTGTCCCAGTGTGTCTATACCTGTGTGCTTCTCACATTTCTGTATCTCTTACTCTCCACATCTCTGTGCTTCAGTTGTGTTGGTGCGTGTCTCAGCGTATGTCTGTGTGACCCTCTATTTGCCACTGTGTCTCAGTGTGTATGGTACGATCCTCAGCATCAGCTGGGTTTGTGTCTCTACCTGTAATTGTCAGTGTCTCTGTTTATCTGTTTCTGTGTCTCCCTTTGTGTACATCTCCCTGAGGGTTTATATTTGTACGCGCCTAGCTGCCTTGCTGTATGTCATCCGGCTATGTCTGTAACAGTGTGTCTCACTCTGTATAACAACCTGCATGTGTCTCTTTCTGTGTCTGTGTGTGTCTCCTTAAGATTATAGAGACTCGCACAAAGGTCTGTCAGCAAGAGTTTAAAATAACAAAAGACAGGCACAGATGAAGTCTTTCTTTGCATGTTAACACACTTTAAACAATGTAATCGCTAAACAAGTTTAGGTTAGATCATTTAAATATTCAAACGAGTGCCGGTAAAAATAACAAACAGTTGCCAATTTCGTCCTGCCGCATACAGACAAGACTGAGATCTCTTCAGATGGAAAGGGGTGGGAGCGATGACATTTAACCTGATGAACCAGAGCTGCTTCAGCTCAGGGTCGTTTAAACGGCTAACGGAAAACCTTTAACTTCATACGAACCCTTGATAACTGTTATTTATTGACGTATTTGAAAGCGGCGACAGGAAATGCATACCGTGCATGACTTGATACTGAAAACGTGCTATCTTTATTGGTGAAAAAGACTATTTAGAAAATAAATGTGTGGGATTGCCTTTAAACTGAAGCTCAGCATATCTGATTTTAGACAAATCTCTGACAGTAAAAGAAAACCTGTAAATATAATTGTAATGTTTTTGAATTAGGTTTCGAGGACATAAATCAATTGCAGTTAGTATTTACAATGTTTGACATGTTAACGGTCGTTTATATGAATTTGAAAACATTTAAATAATTAATACTGTTTTCATCCGTGCCCATTGCCTGGATTCTCTGTTCTCATTGGATTTCCTACTGCTGTGCGGAATTGCTCCCCGTGCACCTGCATATTCCTCCATTATTCCTGGAAATCAAAAGGAACAACATCATTGTACTATAAATTACAAGTGACAGAGAAAGCATTTTAGAACGATCAACTTTGGCTTTTAATAACAGAGCTGTTTACTCACTTGGATTGTACAAGCGTTCTCAGTAGCAGTGTTAAAGCCGAACAATTTCCAGGTGTGGGGATTTTAAATTACCTGATGCATTAACTCTTCCAAAAATATGACCAAGACGGTGGCAAGCTGTGTCTCATTCATGAAACATCAGAACAGAATTTATATTTTGGTTTTTCTTCATTCTTTTCTTCTTGGTTGGTTCTCTTATTCTCTGTTTTTCTTTTTTTTCTCCTCCTGTTGGATTTGCCATTTTGTTTTTTTTATTCGTTCACGGGATGAGGGTGTTGCTGACCAGGCAGCATTTATTGCCCATCCCTAATTGCCCAAGGGGCAATTCAGAGTCAACCACATTGCTGTGGTCTGGAGTCACATGTAGGCCAGACCAGGTAAGGATGGCAGTTGCCTTCCCTAAAGGACATTAGTGAACCAGATGGGTTTTTCCTAACAATCAGCAATGGATTCACAGTCATCATTAGACTCTTAATTCCAAATATTTTATTGAACTCAAATTCCACCATCTGCTATGGCAGGATTCGAACCAGGGTCCACCAGAACACTATCTGGGTCTCTGGATTAACAGTCCAGCGACAATACGACTAGGCCATCGCGTCCCCTAAAGCTCAACTGAAGACAGACAGAAATGAGCAAATTTAATCAACTTATCCCAAGGGCAAATTTAAAAGCCCTTTATTGAGACAACAGGTCTGAGCAGAGAATCCTCACTATCACACCTAATGTGTTCTTTTCTTTATTATTGTCCTCCAGATTCCTGATTTAGGATTTGAGGAACTGGAGCCCCTCAAGACATCTCTGCCAGTCAATAAAAACATGGCTAATTGCAATCTTATATGGTTCATTCATGGGATGTGGATCTTGCCGACTGAGCCAACATTTATTGCCCTGTCCTGTTGCCCTTGAGAAGGTGGCAGTGAGCTTCCTTTATGAACAGCTGCAGTCCATGTGCTGCATTTAGACCCACAATGCTGTTCGAGAGAGAATTTCAGGATTGTGACCCAACAACATCAAAGGAATGGTGATATATTTCCAAGCCAGATTGGCAAATGGCTTGGAGAGAAACTTGCAGTGGTGGTGTTCCCATGTATCTGCTGCCCTTGTCCTTCTGGTGGTCATGGGTTTGGAAGGTGCTGTCTAAGGCTTCTTGACAAATTTCTGCGGTACATCTTGCAGATGGTACATGTTGCTGCTACTAAGCGTTAGTGTTGGAGAGTGTGAATATTTGTGGATATGATCCCTATCAAGGGGGCTTCTTTAACCTGGGTTAAACCTCTTGAGTGTTATTGGAGCTGCACTCATCCAGGGAAGTTGGGGTTATTCTAACATGCTTTTGACTGGTGCCTTATAAATTGTGGAAAAGCCTTGGAGAATCAGGGAATGAGTTACTCCCTGCAGGATTCCTAGCTGTATTTATCTGCCTGTTAGGACAGCCTCTGGTCAGAGGTGGCACAATATGGTCACCAGTTGGCATAAAGATGGCTGCAGTAACAGAATTAACTTGCCTGATCCAGCATTAAAGTGAGGTCATAAGTTAGCACAATGGTAGCTTTGAGAAGGAGTTATCTCAAGGTAACAGGGTCTACTTTGAAACTAGAATCTTACAAATTAATATACAGGGAATTCTGCGCAAACAGCAGCTCCAGAGGTCTGTAGGAGACAGTTTGATAAGAATTGTCTAAGAACAGACAGCCTGAAGTTTTTAGCAGGCTTTAACAATGATCCCTCAACAACAGACACACATGGTAGGGGTGGGATTATGACTTGTGAAAATCTAGGAGATCAGACAAGTTCATTGAGCTTTGAAAGTGATTGAGTTTTAGTCCTATCGATGAAAAAGATGTTGTTTAATTAGGTTAGTCAGAGAAGGGGCAGTAAATTTCATCTCAGAAGATAGTATGTGACGAGAATGAGTTAGAATGCAGCTGCAATAATGAGGGGTAGTGTCTAACTGAAACGAAAACAGAAGTTGCTGGAAAAGCTCAGCAGGTCTGGTAGCATCTGTGAAGAGGAATCAGAGTTAATACTTCAGGTCTGGTGACCCTTCCTCAGAAGCAGGTCAATGGACCTGAAAACTTTAACTCTGATTTCTTTTCACAGATGCTGCCAGATCTGCTGAGCTTTTCCAGCAACTTCTGTTTTTGTTTCTGATTTATGGCATCCACAGTTCTTTTGGTTTTTATTCAGTGTCTAACTGAGCCTCCAAGGTCAGGTGGGACTGAAACTGCTCACAACTCATTAGCTAAAGAATGCTAACAGTAGGTGTAGACATAAAACCTTACATTTAAATAACTTTATAGCAGAACTAATATTATGAATATTACAGCAATTAGCAGGAACTAACTTCCCATGATATCTCCTGCAATCAGGATAGTGGGAAATATAAGTTGAGTCACAGAATTTGATAGGGATAACAATGAGTACAATGAATTATGGCATTCGAGCAGCCCTTAGAGGTAAGCATGTCTGGGAAATTGCTGAAAAAGAGTCAAACCGTTAACTTTGGAAAGAGAACTAATGGGAAGCATTGTAAGATCCCAAGGCCCGATGACCACAATCTCTGGTAAACATCATGAGATCATGGATGATTCCATGTAACTGCCTTTACTCCATATTCCCTAATATCTTTGACTAATAAAATTCTATACATTTCAGATTTAAAATTAACCATTGATTTGTCATCAATTACCATTTCCAGAGAGAATTGCAAATTTCTGCACTTCATATGACTGGCTGTTTTTGTTTACTATTCCTTAGTGTTAGGCTCACCAACCAGTGAAAAATATTTCTCTCTAGCTGCCCTGCTGGTCCCCTTATTATCTTGAAATATTTGATCAAATCACCACTTAATGTTTGAAAATTCAAGTCTCGTTTGTGTAATTTATCAATGTATTGCAAATCATGTATCATTTGGTTAATCTATGCTGCACCACCTACAACACTAATACATTCTCCATAAGTTTTGGTTTCCCCAGCTGCTGACAATAGTGTAACCATGTTTTGCTAAAGTGTGGTTTCTAACCTCTTGTATTGTATTCATATAAAGGCTAACATTCCATTAGCTTTATTGATAATTTTCTGTACCCACATATAAAATCATAATGATTGTTATACTTTTAACACCAAAACAGTTTGGAACACCATATTTTCTGGCTTTGTAACATCTAATAACTGTTCTATCCTCTTTAATCCTTTCCAAATTGGATATCCTCACATTTGCTTTAATTACAGCCCATTTGCCATAGTTTTATCCATTCAATTTGTCTAGCAATTTTTCATTTACAGCCCCACTTTGTGTCATCAGTGAATTTGAATACATGACTTTATTTTTCATCAACTAATTTACAAATGAACACAGTGAGTCTCCCACATAGACCCTTGGTGGACATCATTTGTCCAAACCTGGCAAGTAGAACACCAGTCACTTATCTGTATTCTTCGTCTCCTCCTGCTCAACCAGTTTCATTACCAGTTTGATAAATATGTTTAAAGTTGAGGACAGGAAGGACCCAAGATGAAACTCTTGTCTACAGCTGGCTTGTTTTTCATCAGGTTCGTTATTGAGCCACTTGAAAGCAATTACCCTTGAGCCCTCTGGAATTTCATTGTTGCTTGGGGGTTTAAATGGACTTGAA